TAAGTTTGATTCTCAACAGTGCAAGAAATAATAATAATAACAACATGACGAGTAATAATGGCATCTTATGGCTTCTGGAACAGCTTCCAGAGCTGTGCAAGGCTCCAAAGAGAAGGTAACAGGAAGTGAGGCTGAACCAGGCAGAAGGAAAGGAAGTAGTTATCATTTCCCTGCTTGTCTTCCACTCTGTTTATGTAAAAATACTCCACCCTCCTGAATGTTTTGACTTTGGCACCCTCCTCCTCTCGGAAGGAAGCCCTCTGATGGACAACTTCACTCTTTGTCTCTAAGACCTCACCAGAGGCCAGTATCTTAGCAAGCCTTTGTAGTTAGACAAGAGAGCACGAAATAGGAGCTCCATGTGTTAACTCCTTCATCACCTGAGGTAGGGTGTGATTTCCATAGATTACACAGCAAGGGTCTGCTGAACTTTCTGTCTCTTCTGTCCTGGACTCAAAGTTACTACTTCTGGATACTTTGTAACACAAAAACGCTTTACAGTCTCAATGACTTCAATTGTAGATTGTTTTGCTGTAATAGTTTGTGTATTTCACAGGACTGGAAATCTAAACACAGGGTCAACCGAGGGCTTCTTGAATGCTAAGCAACCTCCCACTAAGGTATGCCCCCAGCCACCCTCTGTATTTTAATACCTGTGACACAGGACTTTAATCCCAGCACTCGGGAGGCAGAGGCAGGTGGATCTCTGAGTTTGAGGCCAGCCTGGTATAAAGAGCTAGTTCCAGGATAGCTTCCAAAGCCTCAGAGAAACCCTGCCTGGAAAAACCAAGGGAAAAGCAAAAAAAGAAAGAAAGGAAGGAAGGAAGGAAGGAAGGAAGAGAAAGAAAGAAAGACAGAAAGAAAGAAAAAGAGGTGCTACATTACGGCTCAAAAAAAAAAAAAAGAGAGAGAGAGAGAATATTTTCAAAAGAAGCAGACTGTAAGAACAGGAAGAATGAGGAGTCTGCTGTGAGAATGTTTCCTTCCCCTGAAAGGCGATCCTGGCTCCACCAAATCTCAGACTGCAATCCCAGACTGCTACGCTTTCCTCATAGCGGCTGGCGAATCCTGATACGAACTACTGAAGACCCTGCTTCTGTTTTATACCTCTCTAGCGCTTGGATTAAAGGCTCGAGCTGTTTCTCTTTTAGACTGAATTCTCGTGTGGCCCTGGGTAGCCTTGAACTCAGAGAGTTCCACCTGCCTTTGTCTCCTGAGTCCGGGGATTAAGGTGTGCACCGCCTCCTAGTTTCTGGCTGCTGAGATTGAAGGTGTGTGCCTGGCTTCTGTGGCTGACTTTGCTTTCTGAATCCTCAGGCAAGCTTTATGTAATATGATGTATTAAACTCATGGGAACTCACGTGGCCTCCGCCCTAGACAAAGAATAGGGAACTAAGGAATGCTAAGACGGAAAGAAATAGTTCTCCCTAGGGAAACACATCAATTGATTAATACCAAGTGGTCAGCCCTGAAAACATGCAAATAAATAACATTTATAAATATTGAACAGGTTATATTTCTGGTGTGTTTCATCAAAAAAAAAAAAAAAAAGTCGGCTGGAGGTGGTAATGCCTTTAAACCCAGCACTCAGGAGGTAGAGGCAGGCACATCCCTGTGAGTTCCAGGATAGCCAGAGCCACATAAAGAAATCCTGTTTGGAAAAACAAAGCAAAACAAACTAACAGATAAGGGAAGGAAGGATGGAAGGAAGGAAGGAAGGAAGGAAGGAAGGAAAAAGAAAACAAGCCACAGATTTGAAATTTGAAAGAGCAAGGTGTAGTACATGACAGGGTTTGGAGGGAGGAAAAGAAAGGGGAATGAATGAAATTATATCCCAGCATCCAGGAGGAAGAGACTCTGTAAATTGGAGCCAACCTCGTCTATATATGAGTTCTAGAACCGCCAGGGCTGTGTAGAAAGGCCTTGCCTCAAAAACAGACCACCACCAACAAAAAGCACATGTAGTCTTGCAAGCAAGATGGCTCCGTGGGTAAAGCCGCTTGCTGCTCAGGGTGCAATGGTGCCACAGAGCTGTTCTCTGAACTAAACACGACATTCAAAGTCACAGAAGTTGAGTCTGACTAGTTACGCTTGCCTTGAGAGTGACCTCTTCTGCTACTGTGTCTTCTCCATCCTTCACATACTTTCAAATCCTCATTTACTCAGCATAAATCGATGTAAGAACTTCTGGAGCCACTCCCTACTGTTTGGGATTAGGCTCTCTCACCCCATGGCTTGGGTTCAATTCCCGATCATGTGAGCACTCTCTTCCTGCCAGGCAGTGGTGGTGCCCACCTTTAACTCCAGCACTTAGGAGGAGGAGGCAGAGCTCTGTGAGGTCGAGGCCAGCCTGGTCTACAGAGTGAGGGTTGTTACACAAAGAAACCCTGTCTGGAAGAGAAAAAACAAAGAACTTGTGGGTATCTGTTTCATACCTTGAACTACACGCAAACATTCTGTTACACAAGCTGTCCACCTTTGACCATGGAGATCTTACATTTCTCTTAGCATAAGTGAATATTGACAACCACAGAGCAAAGACTACTGTGTGCATGCGATGTGCTAGAACCTTCTGCTTTGACATATATTGTGGGTGCTATTCAACCCTAGCTTATTTAGTCTCTCCGGATGCCAGTTTCCTCTACTTTTTAAACTATTGTGTTTGTCTGTGTGTCTGGAGGGCCTGTATGTCCTCGGGAGTGCAGGTGCCCTCAGAGGCAGAAGAGGGCATCAGATCCCCTGGAGTTGCAGCCCTGTCCAGAACCACCCAAAGTGAGTACTTGAAATGTGCTCTGGTCCTCTGCAAGGTCAGATACAGTCCCTTAACCACTGAGCCAATCTCTGAGTTTCCCAATCTGAGGATAAAGCCTCATTTGCAGGCTTAGGGTGAGGATGATGGAATTAGTAAGCTTCACAAAGGAACACAAAGGTTACATTTATAGATACAGGAATTAGCAGTGATTATCAAGTTGGGGCAGGGGAACCTGAAGTTATTCAGCAGGGACTGCCTCAGTGCAGGATGATGGAAGGTTTTGGAGATGAAGTAGTGTTGAAAGGCCAGATGTGTGTCCTTTGTGTCTGTCACCTAAGTGTAGATTGGTAAATTTGTATTCTATTTTTGCCACAGTAAAAAGTAGTGTATTCCTTGTTGAAAATGTAGGAAACAGTTTTCAAAAGTCCTTCAAAGTCCCTAGTAACCCGGGCCAACCGTAACTCAGTGGATAAGGATGCTTGCCATCAAACCTGACAACCTGGGCTTTAGCCCAGAATCCACAGGGAGACAGAAAGAACAGACTCCCACAAGCTGTCCTCTGACCTCCACCTGCCCATATACATAAATAAATAACTGTAAAAACAAATAAATCCTGAGGAGACACTTCTAGTCTTTGTAAATCTTGTATCTAGGGGAGAGAGATGGCTCCGTGGTTAAGAGCACTGGCTGCCCTTGCAGAGGTCCTGGGTTTGGTTCCCAGCACCCACATGGCAGCTCACATCTGTCTGTAACTCCAGTTCCAGGGGGTCTGACCCAAAGGCACCACCACGCATGCAAATGGCACACACACATATATATGCAGGCAACACACCACAAAATACAATGAAATAAACATAAATAAGATTTTTAAAGCCTTTGTATCTATTTTTCCATAGTGTCCAGATCTCAGTAGAGGCCATGTATTGTATACACAGGAGGAGGACAGAAAATAAAAAGACCTACTGGAATTGTTTATTTTGGTTTTTCAAGACACGGTTTCTCGGTGTAGCCCTGGCTGTCCTCAAATTCAGAGATCCTCCTGCCTCTGCCTCCTGTGACTGTGATTTAAGATGTGTTTTCATTCTCTCTTCAAAAGATGACTTCAGTGATGAAATGAAGTCTAACTTCTGAGCTAACAGATACACGCTATTAAACTTCGGGGGGGGGGGGAGGGAATACCCGACCCCTTACTGCGCTCTGTGCCTGCCCCTCAGTGACCTGCACGGGACACGGGGCTTTCAATCCAGTGTATAAGGATTGCCATTTCTCCCTCTTTCCTGATTGCCCTTCTTTGAGGTTAAATATTCCCCATCTTTTTTCGTTTTGTTTTTGGTTTTTCTCGACAGGGTTTCTCTGTGGGTTTGGAGCCTGTCCTGGAACTAGCTCTTGTAGACCAGCTGGCCTCGAACTCATAGAGATCGTCCTGCTTCTGCCTCCGAGTGCTGTGATTAAAGGTGTGCACCACCACGGACCCGCATTTTCCCTAAATCTTAAAGAAACCATACGGAAACATTTTATTCCCTGAACATCTTCAGTTTTCTTGTTTTGTTTTGTTTTGTTTTAACAACCACTTAGTAGAGCAAGGCCCAGTCCTGGCATGCAGTCACCCGGCATGCACTGGCAGCAGGTTGGGGGGTGAGGAAGGCGTGTCCAGGGGTCTCGGCTGGCGACTCCCACAGGCAGCCCCTACCACGCCCGGTGGATGAGGCTGCGCGCCCAGGGTCCTCGTACCCAGCGGTGACAGCCTCTCTCGTGGGCCTGTCCCGGACCGTCGGTGTCGCCGGGACTCAGCCCCCACCCACGAAAGGGAGACACGGGGGGGGGTTGGGGGAGCTAGACGGGGTCACCCTGGATGAGATCAGAACCCCGAGGGCAGCCACGGGCTGCTCCGCGGTGAGGACGACCTCCAGGGCGCGCACCCCGCCGCCGCCGCCGCCCCGGAGGGCCCTGCCCCGGCCTGAGCTTCCCGCTCCGCCCGTGACCCCTGCGGGTTCCCTTTCGTCCCTTCTCTGGACACGCACCCTCCCCGTGGTCCGGAGCAGCCGGTCTTCCTGGAGCCTTTCTAGCCTCCCCTCCACCCTCCGCTTCCTCCGTCCCCCTCCCGCGGTCCCCAGACCCACCCACCCCACCCCCGACCCGGGGAAGGGGGAGAGCGCAGTTTCCCCGAGTCCCCTCCCCGCCCCGCCCCGCCCCTGCTTTTAAACCTGGCGCGGAGCGAGCGGGTAGGTGAGCGCGCCGGGCGAGCGGGACCAGGCGCCGTCGGCTCCGGGACCCGCGAGCCGCCAGCACCGCACCATGAGATCCCAGGCGGCTGCCGGAGCCCGGGAGGCGCGGAGACTCCTCTGCCACTGTCCCAGAGATGATCCCGGGAGGCCACGGCTGCCTCCAGGGCCCGAAAGGTGAGGGTGTCCCTGCAGTCCCGGTGGAGGTGCATCCAGACACACAGACACCGAGCGAGGTCCCTAGCCCGAGACCCACTGCTGCAGAACTCCTGTCTGAAGCGCAGGGACCCGGCGGACACCCGGCAAGGAAATGGGCCAGCGGCTTGTGCGTGCGTACTGAGCATCCCAAGCTGACCTACTGGGAAACACTGGACACTGGGGGAGAGAGGGGGCTGGACGGAACTTTTGAAAGGATCCCACACTCACTATCACTGAGGGACTTGTCTTCCCCACCCCCACACTGGGACTCCGTTTGCCCATCCGTGGGACTCAGCTGTCTTTAAAGCTGTGAAGTTTAAGGAAATCAAATCAGCTGGGGAGGGCGTAGCTTGCTGATGGAGAGACAGGTCGCCCTTCCGTGTGGCAGAACGCTGTAGCACCTACAGCCTTCCGTGGCAGAGGTGATGTAGTTGAAACCCACCTCTGTAAGGGAAAGTCTTAACCTATCACTGAGAGCTTCGCTGGGAGGAAAATGCTTTGGCTAACTCGTACCCCAGCAATGGTGTTGGATCTGGGGCTTGGAAGCACAGGAACGGGTAAGGACTGGCTGGCCCTTGGGTCTGCAGACAGACCTCAGGGGAACATGGTGTGCTCAGGGCCTCTTTGTCAAGCAGACAGGATACAGTAACATTTTAAGCGGCAGCAGAGACGCCCGAGGTTCAGTCTCCTCCCGCTTGTTTCCAGTTCCTCTCCGGCTCTGTGGAGACCTTGGGTGCCGCTTCCTGAAGATGCCCCGCTGACCAGAACTGGAAGCCCGGTAAGTAAACTGTGTAAACTGTGGGTGTTGTAGGTAACAACTGTCAAGCCAGAAAGTGTCTACAGTAATCAGGCAGAGCCTGAGTGAGCAGAGATGCTAATGGCTTCTCCTGGTTGCTTTTCCATCCTGGAAAAGAAACCTCTGCACACATAGCTGTTGCATGGTAATTATGCACGGTGTGTGTGTGTGTGTGTGTGTGTGTGTGTGTGTGTGTGTGTGTGTGTGTGTGTGTGTGTGCCGACTGCACCATGAGCAGGGCTGCCGGTGCCCCAGTGCAAAGAAAGGCTGACGGACGTGAGATCTACCTAGAGTGTCCAGTGGGCGCAGTTAAAAGCCCCCACCCAGAGCCTGGCCCTTGAGAAGCACTTTCGGCCCTGTCTGCAAGAGCTCCAGGAGGAACTGTCGTCTGTGCAAATACACTCAAGCGGAGAGCTTTGTAGGCAAAGATTAATTGCCACAACCGTTCCTTTATCTTTGCATTGCCACTTAATTGCTTTTAACTTATTAAGGTAAAGACTTGCTTACATTTGTAACAGTTTCAAATATAAATTAAGTTTCAAAACAAAGGCGCTAGCCTGACCCAGCGGGGAGGACACTATGAATTTTACTTACTTAGCATCTGTGGGATGCAGCTTAATGTACAGACAGACGTGTGTAAGAAAAGTTAGGCGTGGGAAAGAAGGGCCCTCCTTACTCTTACATTTAAGTTCTTTTTTTTTTTTTTTTTTTTTTTTGAATATGGCGTGCTTTAATTCAGTTGGCATTTGTTTGCTTAAGAATGAAGGAAATAAAGGGGGTAACACTCTGATAAGTGATGTTTTAGCCCTAATCGCCATTGCTCCAAATTTCTAAGGGATGGGAGAGAATTCTTTCTATTCTATTGGGTTCAGACCCAAGGTCTTAAAAATCAGATTTTAAAGGGGATGCTCACAAGTTACTAAATTGTCCTCTAAGTGAAACCTGACTGACTGTGGGACCACTCAATTGTGTGTGAGGCCAGAAGTACTGGGTGGCGGCCAGCCAGCCTCCCGCAGGTAGCTTTCCCTCTGTTCTGATGAGACAGCCCGTTGTGACGACTGTGTTAAGACACAGCCCTTTCTAGTTGACTGCACCTCACACAAAGCAGCTACATCCAGGATCTGGGTGGGTAGGGGAGCTTGGTGTTCTGTAGGGGTTGTAGAACTGGCTGCCTTCCCACACCCTTGTCAGGGCAGGGCTTGGGATCCACCCCTGGGCCTCATAATGTCACTAGGTCCCAGCTTTACCAGGGAGCCAAATTCCCTGGTAAGAGAAAACTTACTCTTTGTCCAGGTCACGGCCTGGTTCTCTGCAGGCCTCAGTGAATCAGGCTCCCCTGAGCGAGCTGGGTGAGTGAGCCTGTGCTCCGGCTGCCAGAGCTTCTGGCTAGTAACACCCTATCGTGGCAAAGCAGGACAGTTCCTCAGCCAAGTCTCTATGCCACTTTGTAGAGAATTATGAGAGGTGCTGAGGCTTGGTGACCTGTCCCAGGACTTCAGCAAGCAGACTGAAATTACAAAGATATAAAGTTGTCCAGGACCTTGTTCTTTGATGGGGAGGGGGGTCACCTGTACCCACTTGGTGCCCGTAGAGAGCTGTGTCCTCCTCAGGACTAGGAAAAACTTGATAGACCAATCTTAGAAAAAAAAAAATATATATATATATATATATATATATATATACATATATATATACACACACACATATATGCGTTGAGGATGGGACCTGGGGATTGGCGTATCTGATGACAAACATATGTCCTATCACTGTCCTGCTTGACACCCCCTAGCCTTGATATTACTTGGCCTCTGTGCATTTCCTTCCTGGCCCCTTGTCCACACTGCCGGGACTTAGACCTGTCCTACTTACCCAGGCTTCCCACCACAGAGGTCCGGCTGAAACTCTCTGCCCTGCCTGTTCACTGGAGCTTATAAGACGCACACGCCTTAAGCACAGTGCTTAGCTGGTTTGCTTTTCTAGTCCCATTTAATTGCTGAAGTGTGCGCACTTCAGTGTTTCTCTCCCTGAGAGCCGACCTTCCCTTAAGATCTTTTTGAAAGTCAGGTGTGGTGGCTCACGTTTGTCATCCAAGCACTTGGGAAGATCCCACAGGTTCAGTGGTGAGACCTTCCCTTAAAAAGTCAAAAGGGAAAAGAAAATGCAGCATGAAAAGTTAAGAGCACTTATGTTAGTGTGGTTGAGAGAGGTATGGCACATCCCCAGTCACTTGAAGGAAGCAGCCTCTCTCTGGTCAGAATAGCTCTGTGCTTTTCCGTCTACCACAGTGTGTACTGTTGCCCAAACAGGTCCTCTTCGGCCAGACACGATTGCTTGCAGCGTGGCGTGAATGCTTCGGTGTAGGGACTGTATAAAATTCCAAACAGTTTAGTCCAGAAGTTGTTTCCCATAGTTCTGAAGAGTCAGCGTCAGTGTGAAGGATTGTGTTCCAAGGAATCTCACTTAACTGCACTTGGCTCTTCACAGTGTCAGCATGGGGAGACACTGCCGAGGCTCTGTGATGTCTGCAGGGACATTCCTATAGGCCAGTTTGTTCAGATTGCTACCCATGCACTCACCACATGCACACACACACACACACACACACATGCACACTCACACCACACACATGCACACACACCACACTCACACACATGCACACTCACACACACCACACTCACACACACACCACATACACACTCACACACACCACATGCACACTCACACACACATGCACACACACCACACGCACACTCACACACACCACATGCACACACAAACACAAACACACACACCGCACACACACACATATGCACACACACCACATGCACACTCACACACACCACATGCACACACACACACACACACACACACCACATGCACACTCACGCGCCCAGGGCTCCTACAGAACAGAGCAGCAGGAGAGTAACCATATCAAAATATCAGTCCTCATTGGCAGCCTTCACCCTGTCACTAGTCTGGTTTTCACTAAACTATGTGGAATCCAAAAGAACTTGGGTTTTTCCTAATCTCCACCTCAGCCCATTTTAGCTCTATGACCCACTCTGTAAAGTTCTCAGAGAGCTGAGATGAAAACGTGACTTCTGTTGCTTAGCCTGTCGGACAACATGACTGTGCTTCAAGCCAAATCCACCCGGTTCGGTGCCCAGAGTCCAGGCAGAGTGGGATGCGTCTGTAGCACCTCCTCACCTGCCTCCCTGCTCAGCTCCCTGCTGCTCTGGTCCTCATGTCCTTTGTCCCGTGGTGCTCAGAGTTGCTTCCATCGTGGCTTGTTGGATGCTGCAGAGGCGCTTGCAATCACCCTTTCTGTCTGTCCCTGGTGCCTGCCAGCCCTTACTGCAGTCTGTGTGCGGCTCCCAGTGGCCACCACCAGCATTAAGATACCGTGGAGACTGGAGCCTTGAACCCTCATCTTAAAGGTTGATCTCCGAGGTCAACCCAACTCTATTCATTCATGCTCGGAAGTGTGCCTCTATTTCCTCTTCATTTCACCTGGGCCTCCCTTGTCTGTGTGCTGTTTCCCCGTCCTCCTTCAGAGGGACGGGGTAGGAGCTTCACTCCACCAGGAAAGTCCCAGGAATGCACAGTCACATGCCTGGGGAAAGATGCCCGGGTGTGCAAGTAACACGGTGGAAAGCGTGAGGTGCTAACACAAGAGGTTTGTATGTAGGGACACCCACGACAATATGGCTAACGTCCCATGCCTTTTGAGTGGTTTTTACGTCTATAGAAAATCCAGGACCTGGGAGGTGGAGATGGCTCAGTGGGTAAAGTGATTGCTGTGGGACCGGGGGGTGGGGGGGACCTGAATCCAATCCCAGGACCCATGTACAAGGCCTGGTGCACCAGGGACTGAGGCAGGGGAGCCCTGGAGCTTGCTGGTGAGCCAGTCTAGCTAACGAGACAGAGCCCTGACTCAAGCACTTTGTTGGAAGGACAGAAAACATTTGATATGGACCTCTGGCCTCCACACACACTCACGAGCGAGCATACTTGCACACACACATGCACACAAATACACCATACCACACACATGGATTTAAGGTGTGAGCTCTCATAGTGCCTGGACCTCTGTGGATAAACATCCCAGGAAGCAGAACACAGAAGTTTCAACTCTAAGATCCTAGTACTGTTAGTAGTCACTACACACTGCTTAAGTTGTATCTTTAAAACTTCAAGATCCTGTCTGTCCAGGTGGTGGAGGCGCACCTTTAATCCCAGCACTCGGGAGGCAGAAGCAGGCGGATCTCTATGAGTTTGAAGCCAGCCTGGCCTACAGAGGTAGTTACAGGACAGGCTCCAAAGCTACACAGAGAAATCCTATCTCAAAAAGCCAAAAACCAAAAGCAAAAAACAAACAAGAACAACCAAGATGATGCCGTCAGTGGCTCCTTGACTACATCTGCTTTCCAATTGTCTTTACAGTGTGAGCCTTGGGGGAACCAGCAAACTTTAGGATCAAAGGGAGCCTTCGGATTCCAGCACCCTGTCAGGTAATATACTAACTACTTCATGGTAAAAAAAAGCCTGTGATCTCTAGACGTTCATACACGTTAACACTTTCAGCAAAGTAGAGAATTAAATATATTGTCTAGAGTTATTTCGTTTCCTTACCAACGGGTTGCAAGGATATTTTGTTATATTTCTGGAATCTGCTCAAAATTTCATGCATTTAATGTTTCATTGCAAGCTGGAACGCCTTTAATGCCAGCCTGGTCTACAGAGGGAGTTGTAGGACAGCCAGGACTACGCAGAGAAACCCCAAAAACAGAACAAAAAAAGAAAGAAAACCAAAGCTGGGACTGGCCGTTTGACAAATCCTATTTGCCCTCCAAACTCACTGGTAAATTCTTCCACACAATCGCCTAACTTTAAACATGGGCCGGCCTAAACCTTGCTTATGTTTCTGTTTTGGATGTGTTGATGCATTTTGCATGTGCTCACTGCCACCATGGCTGGGCTGGACTGGGCTGTGGGGATCGACCTCAGCATCGCAGAGTGTTTGGCTGTACTTCCGCAATTCCGGCTCCCGCCCAGAAACACCAGGAGCATCTCTTTAGCTGTGTTAATCAAAAATGTCTCCCGATGTTGCCCAGGGTGCCTGGAGCTGGGGAAGCCCTGATCCAGTGCCATCTTAGGAAGCTGGGCGTTGCCACAGACAGCCTATAACCAGTGTATTCTCGCTGCCTGTCCTCGGGGACACCAGCTAAAATCAGCAGCAACCAATCGACACAATTGACAGACTCTGCTTCCTCAGAAGACCATGGAGCCAGATGGGAAGCAAATGAATTAATAAGAGAAAAATATTAAGAGATTATTACGGCTGCTTTTAAAAGTATTTTAAAAAAACTTTTCATAATAACTAGAATCTCCAGTTTTATAAAACTTGAAACTTGGGGCCTCCAATTTTTATGCATTTAACCTTTTCCCTTCCTCTCCCTCCCTTCCCCTCCCTCTCCCTTCCTCCACCCTTTGTCTTTCTCCTCCTCCCCCTTCCTCCCCTCCCTCTCTCCCTCTCCCTCCCGCCTCCTCCTTCTGGAGAGAAGGACACACCTCTACTCCTCCTCTTCATGTCTGGAACAGTCAGCTAGTCCTCCAGGAACATTTCCTATCCAGGAGGGCTCACCTGAGCAAAGCAGGCCTTCTAAGATTAGAGCCCACTTAATGCCGACACCTTTGCTGTGGGTCTAAGTCCACCAGTGTGGGTTTCTTAACTAGTTCCTCAGCAGGTGCCCAGTTCTGTGCTCTGGTAACTTAAAGAGGAATGAGACGGAAACGGGGGCATTAAGTGTGTCTGCCGGGAGCTTTTTTAGGTTGACTAATGGCTCGTTTGTTTCTTTCATATTAGACTTTACTTACCCCTTTCAAAGCGTCAAGAATACCTGCAGAGTTCTGGGGAAAAAGTGTTGGCCAACTTCCCAGTGCAAGCTACCATTCATTTCTACAACGATGAATCTGAGTCGGACGACGAGGAGGAGGAGGAGCAGGAGGACAGCACAAATAGAGCTGGCAAGCCTCTAGGGAGGACGGGACGGCCTCTGGGGTGACTGCAGGGATCAGTCTCTCTCCTGTGCTGGTCTCCCTGTCCTGGGGACAGACAGCCTTGCCAGGATTCAGCCTCCTGTCCAGTTTCCTCCGAGGCCGTGACTCCACCCAGCACCTACAAAAGCTAGGGACTCCGCTTTTAACTCTGTGTGTGTGTGTGTGTGTGTGTGTGTGTGTGTGTGTGAATGATTCATTTGATTGCTCAGTAGCTGTCTGAAAAAATATTCTCTTACTTGTGAAAAAAGTGAAACCCTGAATAATTTCCACTGGAATAAGAAGCCAGAAGACATAATCTTTTTAGGGGATGAAGAGGCGTTTCCGAGGCCTGGGTAAGGGCTGTGAGTATATATAGGCTGTAAAGGGACAAGTTTTCTGACTCGGTGCCTAGTATGATCTTGTTATTTGATGAAATACTATTTTTAATTGAAATGTCTTGTGTAAATTAGTTTGAATTTTGTGATTTTGATAACCCAAGGACTATGCCCCTCAGGGCTCTCCTGAATTATCTTACCTGACCCCGTCTTCCTGTATATATACCACTTTGCAGGAATTTTTACTTGGAATAAATATTTTTTTGAAAGATCGTTTGATAATCATCCATTTGCATAAAATGTTCTTGGAGTAAATTAGTTCCTGTTCTAAAGGTTTGAAAGGGTTTTTTCTTCTTATATGTATTTAACTCATATTACTTTCACAAATGCAAGAAAAGGTTAGAGCAGTGGCTCAGCGGGTAAAGGCGCTTGCTGTCAAGCCAGACAACCTGACTTTGAGCCCCCAGAACTCGAATGGTAGAGAGAACTCGGGGGCCAGAGAGACGGCTCAGTGGTTGTTTCTCATACTGGTTAATGAATAAAGCACTGTTGGCCAATAGGAAAGCAAGATAGGCGGGACTAGGAGACAAGGAGGAAAGAGGAAGTAGTAAGAAGGAGTCAGCATGTAGAGATTTGAGAGAACAGAGGTCAGGGCTCTCTCTCTGGTAAGATGAGACCACGTGGAAATACTTAGATTAATGGAAATGGGTTAATATTTAAGACAGAACTAGCCTATAAGAAACTAGTAAGTGGCAAACAGCTTTATATCTAATACAGAGTCTCTGTGTGTTAATTGGGGCTGGTGCCGCTGTGGGTCTAGGACGGCAGGAAAAACCTTACTTGTAACACACATATACACATACAGACACATGCACACACATACACTCACACAGGCACACACACATAACACACACAGGTGTCACATACACTCAGGCACATACAAGCACATACACACACAGGAACATGCGCACACACATACATACACATACACACACACTCAGGCATGCACATGCAGATACATATACACACACAGGAACGTGCACAGACACACACCCAAAAAGAAAAAAGCATTTCTAAAAAGAAAAGGACCTACACCTTCATTGCTCAAATACCACATTAATATTTAAGGAACTACAACAATGCAAGTCTTGTAACAAACCTAACAACAGTTCAGACAGCTCTGCTACAAGGCAAAAGGCATTCTTAGCTCCCTCCTTCCTGCCTTCAGGTAATAAACATCAAATTTTATTTGAGACAGGATCTCACTATACGTCTCTGGATGGTCTGGAAGTTTCCACGTGGGCCAGGGCAACCTCAGACTCACAGAGACCCACCTCCTCTTCCTCAAGTGCCGTGATTAAAGTCTTACGCTACTTCGTAGTGAATGGTTTAATTTTGTTTCCTAGGTTTTTTTTTTAATTGTCCCATCCTTTAAAAAATAAACGTCTTCCTTCTCTCTCTTCATCGCAGTGCTGTGGTTCAGTGCCGGGGCCTCTTGACAAGTGCTCTACTAATGAACTCAGGGTTTCAGGGTAAAGCTTGCCCTGAAGGGTCTTTTAAATACATTTTTCCCCTCATGTTCTGGGGGGTACCCGACTTCACTGTTACTAAAGTTTTCACTAAATCTCTAGCCTGAAAACTATGTGCTTCTTATTTCTTTTTCTTAGTTTTATTTTTGTGTGTATGTGTGTGTGTTTGTATACTCTTGTGTATGTGTGCATGTGTGAGTGTGTGTATACTGGTGTGTGTGTGTTTGTATATACTTGTGTGTATATGTGAGTGTGCGTGCATGAGTGTGTGCGTGCGTGCATGTGTGTGTGTGTGTGTGTATGTGCAGGAACATCCATGCCACAGCACAGGTGCAGGGGTGAGGGGCTAGCCTTGGCTTCCAGTCCTCACCTTTTACTGTTTGCGGAGTCTCTTGTTTACAGCCATGAACACGGCAGTGCCAAGGAGTTTCTGAGGGTCTATCTCCACCATCTGTCTTGCTGCAAGTACTGGGTTACAGATGCACGGTAGAATGTGGCTGTATGTGGGCTGTATATGGCAAGTTCTACACACTAAAAACGATTTTGTCACTTAGTAACAGCTATAAATTGCACATTGGGGTTCAGTGTGGCATTACCCTCTGTCTTGGTTGGGCTTTTTATTGCTGTGAAGAGACACCATGACCATGGCAACTCTTATAAAGGAAACATTTAAATAAGAGGGGCTTGCTTACAGTTTCAGAGGTTCAGTCCATTATCATCATGATGGGGAGCATGGCTGTGCACAGACAGATGCGGTGCTGGAGCTGAGCATCCTACATCCCACAGGCAACAGGAAGTCAACTGACTGTCACACTGGGGGAAGCTTGAGCAAGAGAGACCTCAGAGCCCACCCCACAGTGACACGCTTCCTCTAACAGCCACACCTCCTAATAGTGTTGCTCCCTGTGGGGACCATTTTCTCTCAAACCACCACAGTATCATACACACTAATCTGACCCAGCCTCTCTTTACCCAGCAATCCCCTCCCAACATCCTACATTCAAACGGACTTACACACACGCGTGCGCGTGCACACACGCACAGGCGCGCACACATGCACACACAAGCAGATACACACGTGGGGGCGTCATATGTACACATATGCACATATGTGGGTGTGGAGGTCAGGAACTAATAGGAATCATTCTCTCTACCATGTGGGTCCTGGGAACCAAACTCAGGTGGTGGGGTCTGGTGGCAAGCATCTTTATCTGCTGACTCATCTTGGAGGCCCCAGGCACATTTGTTCTAGCTTCTATATACGAGAAAGGACATCTGTCTGTTCAGCATATCACACATAGTTATTGCGCTACAAATCACTGAGTAGTATTCCATAGTGCCGATACACAATATTTTTCTTTGATTTCTAAAGATTAGCAATTTTCACACGAAGGGTCGTTTTGCTTGCATGTGTGTCTGTGAACCACACTCCCACCTGTTGCCCTTGGAAACAGAAGAGGGCATTGGATCTGCTGGAACCAGAGTTATAAATGGTTGTGAGCTGCCATGTGGGTCCTGGGAATCAAGCCTGGGTCCTCTGGAGCAGCAGCCAGTGTGGTGAGCCATCTCTCTAGCTGACATCATATTTTATTTACGCATCCTTCCATGGATAAACACCTAGGGTGATTTCTTGTCTCAGCTACTGTGAATTGTGCCACAGTCAACACGGCTGTGTTAGTATCTCTTTGCTGTGATTTAATTTCTTTCATTTGTGTAGAGTATTAAATACTTTCATGTAGCTTACAACGATGTGGAGGAATGTTCACACCACAGAACTGGAAGCAGAGAGCTCAGAAAGAACCATGTTCAGGGGCAGAGATACCTTCAGAGCTGGTCACTCTGTTTCCCAAAGTTTCCACCTCCCCACACAAAACAAAACAAGCAGAAACAGTGTTACTATCTAGCTGAGGAACAAGCCCCTGGGAAACATTCCAGATTGAAATCACAACCTATTCAATCAGTAGGGCTGCTGGATCACGCTGTGGGAACTGTGTACAGAGCAGTTCTGTCTTTTCCTACCACAGGGTTAAAATCAAGAAAAGGCCATAACAAGCGAACAAAAGCAAAACCGTAAGAAGCCTCTTGGAGGAGGGCATGCATGGTGGGCATTCCTGTAATCCCAGCACTCTGGGGAAGAAGTGGGTGGATCGCTCGTGGGGTTGAGGCTGCCCGGTGTACACAGTGAGCTCCGTGCAGGGGAAGGTTACTATGGTTACCTCGCTGTTGCACACGCTCCACATTAGCTGCAGAACTCGCTGGCATCCCCCCCCCTTCACCTTGGGCCCCAATCCACCCATCAGACTCAGAGCTTTTCCACTCGCTGAGGTAACCTGTTTATTCAATCACCGAGGCGCGATACACCGTCCTCAGAAGCACGGACAAGGCCCTGCTCTGCTGCTTCCTGTGGGGGCGAGTCTTGATGACTCACTTATCTCTGTCCACACTGTGATGACAGCCACATCTCCCTGCTCCTCTGCCTCTGCTGTCTAAGACCACACTCTATCATCTGTTTCCATGTCAGATCGTACAGATGAGCGGCGATCTACAGTGCTCGTGTTTTAATACCTGCAGGGTCTCCACTGGAGCAGTGTAGTCCAACTTCATTTGTGTTTTTTAAAAAGAAAGTCTTTCCATCTGAGGCTGAGCCTGAAGATGCCCAATCCCATCATTTAAAAAAATAGAGATAAACTTATTGATCATTATTATTTGTGTGTGTGTATGTGTGTGTACATGTGTGTATGTGTGTGGTGTGTGTGTATGTGTGTGCGCATGTGTGTGTATATGTGTGTGCGTGTACGTGTACGTGTGTGTATGTGTGTGATGTGTGTGTGCATGTGTGTGTATATGTGTGTGTACGTGTGTGGTGTGTGTGTGTGCATGTGTGTGTATGTGTGTGCATGTGTGTGTATGTGTGTGGTGTGTGTATATGTGTGTGTATGTATGTGCATGTGTGTGTGTATGTGTGCATGTGTGTGGTGTGTGTATATGTGTGTGTATGTGTGTGGTGTGTGTATATGTGTGTGTACGTGTGTGTATGTAGGTGCATGTGTGTGTACGTGTGTGTATGTATGTGTGCATGTGTGTGGTGTGTGTATATGTGTGTGTATGTGTGTGGTGTGTGTATATGTGTGTGTATGTGTGTGCATGTGTGTGTGTATGGTGTGTGTGTGTGTGCACATGTGTGTATCAAAGCATGCATGCCAAGGTCACAGGACAATTTTCAAGAGTTGGCTCTCTCCTTCTACCATGTGTTCCGGGGATCAAATTTAGATCACCATGCATGTGCGCTCGCACGCGTGTGCTATTTCACCAACCCCTGGCTGCTGATGGATACCCCTCTTGCTTCTGTAGTTGCTACTGTGGACAGTGGCCGTGAGCTTGGATGTCTCCACTTTGTGCTGACTTCAGATCACCTGTGCAGACATACAGAAGTGATGACGGATGACTGCATTTGTGATCTAAGAGGTGAGAAAATCGACATTTGGACGTGTGGAGAATTTGGAACCACATGCTTGGATGATGAAAATGTAAGACCGTACTGCCAGTTTGGCCGTTTCATTGAAAAGCTAAATATAGTGTATCATGCAACCTAGCAATTTTATCATCCCTAGGAATCTCCCCAAGAGAAATGAAGACGTTTGTATACAGAAAGACATTCATATAGAAGTCTTAAATAGCTCTACTTAGAATAGTCCAAACCAGAAACAGTTCCAAT